CCCGCTGTTGGCTGATCCGCTGGATTTTCGTGATAGAACCGGTGCTATTTTTCTTGCTTAATTTTATGCTGGCTTATTGTAGAACCAATCACGACGCCGCTTCATTTGAAGATGGCCGCTGGGAAGCGTGTAAACACATACGAGTACGCGAAATTCAAAAATACAATATTTTGTGCCGACTGTGCAATAGAATACTGGTCACGTTTACTTACCTCGTTACCGAGGACCAATATTGAAGAAGAAGAAGACGACATCTTAATGCTTGTATGATTCTTATGTGAATTTATATACTACGTATGTAGTCCCACAGAAACGTTTTTTTTCAATATACGGAGTAACAAGAAATAAATAAGTTATTACGTTTTACGTTTCCGTCCGTTAAGTAAATTACTTTATATCAGTTTTTTTTTTTACCAAAATAGAAAGGAATATGTCCTCGTGTAAACAGAATGAAAAGCAAAGATGGACAAAAGAAGCAATTTTGTGTCTGATAGAGGCCTACAAAGAGGAACCCTGTTTATATGCAATAAACACACCTAATTATCATAATAAACATCTTCGAAGTGAAGCATTAAAGAAAGTGTGTGCTGCTGTTTCAATGTATAGACCTGAGACTGTAGAAAGCGAATGTACAGCAAAGTTTCACAATTTGCGAAACCAATTTAATATCGAAAATACAAAAGTAAAATCGTCAATAAAATCTGGAATTGGCACTAATGATGTAAGTATGAAAATTTAATTTATCACAATTGCAACAACATTCTATGTAATAATACTAATAATTCCATAGTAAGTGTCAATTTGTACAGATCAATTACAACGCTTGTCTCATTTGCATCTTTATTATATGACTTTTTCGAAAATCTAAATTATCTATTAATTTTTCTTATATGTATATATACATATATATATATATAATATTTACTGTTTTATTTTTTTTATTAAATTTTAAAACTATGTACTTTATTTACTTATACTAAACTTATATATTACTTATAACTTACATTTAATATACTCGAAACTATATACATATCATTAAAACTATGTACTTATAATAAACTTGCACTCAGTCTCATCCGAGGAGAAATTGCATCTCTCATTAGGATATTTTTTTTTCAATATTTAATCTTAGACTGAGAAAATTAAATAATCTGTGCTACAAATTATTTGATTTGAACTATTATAATTCCATTATGTATTTCTTAATAACAAGTAATTATTTATTTTTTATATTGTTTATATTTTTTTTATCATAGAACAAAGAATTATCAAACTCTTAACAACTGACTCAAGAGAATAGTCAAGAAGAATCTTTTGAAGTAGAATGGCTAGATAATGAATTTTT